AATACGCCTATATTTGTAAATTTTTTGGTATAAAAGCTCTAAAAAGAAATATTTCTAAAAAACATTGGTAAAAAAAGCTTTCATAGAAGATTTTTATATAAAAGTTTTATAGACCATTTTGGGGAAATATAGCAGATATTTCTATAAAAGCTTCTAGAGACTATGTTTTCTTATAGATAGAAGAAAAATTTCCATAGAATATTTGTATGAAAAAGCTTCCCTAGAAGCTTTTTATAAAAACACATGTTTTCTAGAAGATTTTGCATAAAATTCTTATGTGGAGATTTTTATGAAAAAGCTTTCATAGAAGATTTTCATGAAAAAACTTTCATAGAAGATTTTTATGAAAAAGCTTTCATAGAAGATTTTTATGAAAAAGCTCCAATAGAAGATTTTTTAAAAAAAGCTTCGGTTCAATATGTTTATATGAAAGCTTCGATACACGTTTTTTATACGAAAGCTTTTATAGAGGATTTTTGGGATTTTTTGGCTCTAATAGAATTTTTCTTTAGAAGAGCTTTTTACTCTATGGACATAAAAAAATTGAACACAAGTGTTTATATTGAAGCATATTCAATAAAGTTTTATATATAAAATTTTGGAAATAAATATTTTATAAAAAAATTGAACTTTGAAAGCTTTTCAATAGTAGCATATTATATGTAAGCTTTTTGGAGAATTTTTCTATAGAAGATTTCATTCAAAATATATTCGTGACATCTTCTATGTTAGGCTTCTTATGGGAAAGCTTTTATAAAGTGTTTTATAAATTATTTTTCTGTGAAAGCTTTCATTCCGAAATTTTTATTTCTAACTTCAAACACTTCCCACTTTAACATTTCATTCTACTTCAACTATTTCTCAAAATGCCATCACTTGGTCTTTGTTAAAAAAAAAGTTTTCACTTAACATTTTCAAATTCATTATCCAAAGCAAACAATGGAATCTAAGTGGAAAAGCTTCTTCGTCTTCTTGGACACGGTCTGGTTATTTTGCCGCCAAAAAGGCATTTCAAGAGGAAGAACAACAAAAAACCTGCCACACAATAACTCCATAAAACCCATAGTCAGACCAAAAGGTACCAACGATGCCACCCAAAGCACTGGCAACGGTCTCCGCGATGGAACAGACACCAGAACAACGACAAAAACAACAACGAACGGAACGGCGGAAAAAATCGCTTAAAACGGCAGCTTTTATAAAAATATTTGATTTGCGTGTTTAGAAATCATTTGAGAGTCGGTCGGTGTCTTGGCATGAATAGCCTTAAAGGCTTATCAGACGATTCATCAGTTGTTGTTGTTGGTGGTGGTGTTTTTTCACTATGTTTTTGGAAGGTGAACCCAGTAGCTCTGCTACACTGGGCCACCATATCCTAACTTCCACAACATATAAATATATTTTTTGTTGTCCCACTGCCTGACTTGGAACATGCCTTTGCCATGTAATGAAACCCCCCTTGAGTTAAGATTCAGTGATGAAATTACAAATTCAACTACGGACCTAGGTACTCGAACCATAAAGCTTACAATTGTTCGGAGTTTTTTTCTTCGTTGTTTGTTGTTGTTAGTTCTTGGCGTGAAATAGTTTTTTTCTTGTAGTTTTCTTTTGTTGTTGTATTTTTTGCAAGATCCGTTTCAAACCGTTTTATTTGTTGTAACTGCTGTTGTTTTAGAACTTCTTGTCATGATTGTCAGTCAAGCAACCGTACCGAAAGTCAAACAACAAGTTTTGTGAGCAACTAGACTAGGAATATGATTTTAAGAGTCAAGAGCGGAAAGCCGCAAAGAGTGAGAGGGTGGTATGAAGTGGGAAGGGTAGGGAGGATTTTCTAAATGGAAGGAAAATGAAATTTTTAATAGAAAACTTCACTATGAAACTGTTTTCCTAGAAAATTTCACTATAAAATTTTTATATAGAAAATTACATTATGCAATTTTTTATAGAAAATTTCATGATGACATTTTTATATAGAAAATTTCATGATAAAATTTTTATATAGAAACTTTCACTATGAAATTTTTATGGAAAATTTCACTATGAAATTTTTTATAGAAAATTTCACTATGAAATTTTTTATGGAAAATTTCACTATGAAATTTTTTATGGAAAATTTCACTATGAAATTTTTTATGGAAAATTTCACTATGAAATTTTTTATGGAAAATTTCACTATGAAATTTTTTATGAAAATTTCACTATGAAATTTTTTATGGAAAATTTCACTATGAAATTTTTTATGGAAAATTTCACTATGAAATTTTTTATGGAAAATTTCACTATGAAATTTTTTATGGAAAATTTCACTATGAAATTTTTTATGGAAAATTTCACTATGAAATTTTTTATGGAAAATTTCACTATGAAATTTTTTATGGAAAATTTCACTATGAAATTTTTTTTATGGAAAATTTCACTATGAATTTTTTTATGGAAAATTTCACTATGAAATTTTTTATGGAAAATTTCATTATGATTTTTTTTAATAGAAAATTTCACTATGAAATTTTTTATAGAAAATTTCTCTATGAAATTTTTTTATAGAAAATTTCACTATAAAATTTTTTTATAGAAAATTTCACTATGAATTTTTTTTATAGAAAATTTCACTATGAAATTTTTATATAGAAAATTTCACTATGAAATTTTTTTATAGAAAATTTTTATAGAAAATTTCACTATGAATTTTTTCATAGAAAATTTCACTATGAAATTTTTTCATAGAAAATTTTCACTATGAAATTGTTAATAGAAATTTTTCACTATGAAATTTCTTTATGAAAATGTTTATAGAAGGCCTTTACAGGTCCTCCAAGTCAAAAATAGTTTCTGCAGTCTCCTCAGGGTAAATGACTTTTGGAGGTGTTCTGTACTTAAAAGAGCTTCTAGAAAACCTTCAGAAGTATTATACGGCCTGAAGAGGGCTGTAAGAACCGCAAAGGGATTCTATGGCTTGACAAGATTTAGAGATCTTTTTTGGTTACGCGATATCTAGAGGCCTTCTGTTGATAAAAGTCATTTGGAGTTCTTCTGTGGCTAAAAGAATTTCAAAGGCCTTCTCCGATAAGAAGACTATCAGGCAAAAACTTTCTTCGGAGGTATCCTGTACTTAGAATATTTTAAACATTTTTTTCTGTGGCTTCCAAACATTTAGCGGTATTGTAAGGCCAGAAAATCTTCAGAGGGTCTTATACGATCTGAAGATAGCTGGACGAACACCAATGAGGTTCTATGGCTTGATGAGATTCTGCGGTTGTTGGTTTGAAAATCTTTAGATTTATTCTTTGTAGCTAGGATACCTTCAAAGGTCTTCTGTTGAAAAAAAACTTCTTTAAGGACTAGAAGAATTTCAGGAGCCTTCTAAGGCAAGAAGACCTTCAGAGATTTTCCCACACAAAAAAGATCTTTTTCCGTGGTCTCTTAAGTTTAGAATACTATCGGATGTAATCCGCACTTGTAAGACCTTCAGAGGTCTTCTGTAGCTAGAAGATACCTTTAGAGGCTTTTTACTGAATTTCAGACTAGCAAATCTTCATAGCTCTTCTATGGCTACATGAGGTCTACGGTTGTGGTTAGATGACCTTTCGATGGCTTGAAGAATTTCGGCTTCTATATCATTTGTTTAAGTTACCATAGAATACCTTCAAAGGACTTCTATGGTTAGAAGATATTCGGAGTTCTTTTAGGTGGATTTCGGTAGCCTTCTCAGACAAGAAGACCTTTTTAAGGTCCTCTAATCCAAAATGATATTCTGGGGTCTCTTATGGTTAGAAGACCTTCAAAAGTCTTCTGTGGATAGAAGACTTTAGAGAGAGAGGGAGAGAGAAAGAAAACCTTCAGAGGCCTTCTATGGCCAGAAGATGGCTAGACGAACCTCAAATTTAAAAATTATTTTTGCTTAGCAGATCTTCAGAGGTCTTCATTGGTTAGAAGATCTTCAGAAGTCTTCAGAGGTTTGTTAGTTGCAGATTGAAGAACTTCTGAATTTCATGTGAAAATTTTATGAAAGTTTCATGTGCAATTTTTATTAAAGTTTTAAATGAAACTTTTATGAATATTTCATGTGCAATTTTTATGAAAGTTTAAAGTGAAACTTTTATGAAAGTTTCATGTGAACTTTTATGAAAGTTTCTTTTGCAATTTTTATGAAAGTTTCATGTGAAACTTTTATGAAAGTTTCAAGTGAAAATTTTATGAAAGTTTCCGGTGAAATTTATATGAAAGTTTCTGCTGAAATTTATATGAAAGTTTCATGTAAACTTTCATGAAAGTTTCATGTGAAATTTTGTATGAAAGTTTCATGTGAAACTTTTATGAAATTTTCTGCTGAAATTTTTTTATGAAAGTTTCATGTGAAAATTTTATGAAACTTTCAGGTAAAATTTTTTATCATTTTTTTTTTAATAAGTTTGCCCGAATTTTTTTTCTCAATTTTTGAACCGATTAATCCTCCCCTCTTTAAGAAGTTATTTTTCGGTTAACCGCCTGTTTTGCCTCATCGTATTATTATTTGTAAAGTCACACGACTCCAAATCCAAACAATTTAATGTAGACTTTTGTTGTTGTTATTGCCACCTTCAACTTTGTTGTTGTTATTGTTCATGTAACCGTTCGTTCATACCGTGGTTGAATTGAAATGCAATTCTTCATTTCAGTGGAAATGCTAAGGAGGCGTCGGCGGGTTACCACTCACACAAGAACCTCAAAGGGGAGGGAGAGAGAAGAGGGGAGGGAGACAGAGAATTACAATATTACGTTTTTGTTGTTGTTCTTGTTCATGTGACTCCAAACACGCTCAGGGTCTCATGTTCGATGTTAGAAGGTAATTCTTGGAAAAAAAACATAGCAAAGGCAGTTGCGACCCACGCTATACCCGCAAATGTACTTGAAATAATTCACATATGTTTGTCGGTATGTATATATTATATAACATAGCAACAACAATAACAAAAAAACAATTTTGCAATTGTTTTTGTTGTTGTTGGTGGTAGTACGAATAAATTGTTACAACTAAAGCTCACCTATAATAATCGCTTTTGCAGTAAATATTACCGTCGCGCGAATAACACGAAGATTCCCGGTCGAGGGGCTGTCGACAGGCATAGCATTGCAGGCAACTGGCATGCCACCGTTTATCCACAGCCGAGAGGTAGAAACGATCCTAGGGGAAAATGAAAAAAAAAATAGACGGCAACGTGAAAAAACAGCCGTTATAATTGGACATGTAATTGCCGGGGCAGCAAACAAATTGGCCAGAATGGCAGAAAAGGGGGGAAGGTAATTTACCGTACTCACCTGTATTAAACGCCCACACCCGGCACAGGGTGGACTACAATTTGGTTTTGTTTCAGTCGCCGATTCTGGACTACTGGGTGGTCCATAAGGTTCCGTTTTAAAGGATATACCCGAATTCGTTTCATCGTTGAGATCGTCCGGACATTCGGTTTGGCCTCGACTAATGGCATATTTGATGGAAGAGTCATCGAAGGTGGCCTGTTCGGCTGTTTCATAGCTGTAACAAATATTTTTTGATTATAAATTTTTTTTAAGAGAATCAGCCCCCCTCGCCCCACCTTACCTTCTAAATGCAACTGAATAGGCGGCCGCCGCAGCACTAAACGGCTTTGTACTGTGTTCACAGATATCGGGACATGTTGAGCAGGATTGTGTGGATCGAAATATGAATTGATTGCTATGACTATGATTACTACTACTGTTGTTGTTGTTGTTATTATTGTTGTTGTTGCTATTATTATTGTTGTTGTTATTGTTATTATTACTACTGTTATTTGCACCTGCAGCACTGCCGCAATGTGCAGCATTTCCTTGATGTGCTACAGGTGGTGTTGGACTTTTTTCCCTTGCACCTGGCCCAAGAAATCTTGCGCTCTGCTGCTGCATAATCGAACAAAAAACACATGAAAAGAGAGAAAGAGAAGGTGATAAGAGAAAATGTGATAATAAAACTATAAAAAAAATTAAAAATAGTTCGGAATTTTTATAAAAATAGGCTCTGAAATTTATAGGTGGACTTACAGCCCCAGACATAACTCTGAAAATTTTCTGAGATCTAGACGACCTCCAGTGGCCATTAGAAAGACAGAATGTCTTCAAATATCTCCTCAGGCTAGAAGAACTTCAGAGGTCTTGGAAGGCAAGGGGTATTATAAAGTCTTTTAAAAATTAGAAGAATTTATGAGGTATTTTGTGCTTAGAAGATCTTCAAAGGATTTCATAGCAAGGAGATTTTGAGAGGTCTATTCTGACTGGAAAGCCTTTAGAAGAGCATCTACAGTAAGAAGAGCATCAGAAGTCTTCGATAGCTGGACGCACTTCAGAGATATTTCATAGCTTGAGATTCAGAGATTTTTTTTCTTTAGGAGATATTCAGACGTCTTCTGTAGATAGAAGATCTCTCAAGGGGTTGTTCCACGACATCTTCGATAGCTAGACCTCCTTCAGAAGACTTATATGACCTTCTGAGATTAGAACACCTTCCAGAAGACGTTCAGAAATCTTTGACGGCTCTACGAAATTAAAAGAGTTGCGTTCGTTAGAAGACTATTAGGGGTCTTTTGAAGCTAGACAATCTTCCAAGGTATTCTGTGAGAGAGAGGTCTATTCTGGGGTATTATAAAGTCTTTTAAAAATTAGAAGAACTTAGGAGGTATTCTGTGATTAAAAGATCTTCAAAGGATTTCATAGCAAGGAGATTTTGAGAGGTCTATTATGACTGGAATGCCTTTAGAATAGCATCTGAAGTCTTCGATAGCTGGACGGACTTCAGAGATCTTTCATAGCTTGAGATTCAGAGATCTTTTTTCTTTAGGAGATCTTCAGATAGAAGATCTCTCAAGGGGTTGTTCTACGACTTATTCGATAGCTAGACTTTCTTCAGACCTTCTGACGTTAGAGCACCTTCCAGAAGACGTTCAGAAGTCTTTGACGGCTCTACGAAATTAAGAGTGTTCCGTTCGTTAGAAGACTACTAGGGGTCTTTTGAAGCTAGACACTTTTCCAGGGTATTGTGTGGCTACAATACCCTCAGAAGACTTATATAATCATCATAGTATTTTGAAAGGCCTTCAGAGATCTTCTAAGCGGCCAGAGGTTTCTTTAGTAAGAAGACATTCAACAATATTCTGTAGCTAGAATACCTCCCAAGGCCTGTATAAATAATATCTGCTGCTTCATAGGTCTTCAACGGCCAGAAGACGTTCAGAAGTCTTTGGATGACTGGACAGACTGCAGAGGTCATCTTCTATGGCTCGATGAAATTAAGAAATTTCAGTTCGTTAGAAGACATTTAGGGGTCTATTGAAGTTAGAAGATCCCAAGGTATTCTGTAGCCACAATACAGAGGATATTTTGCGGCTAGATGAACTACAGAAAACTTCAATGGCTAGAATACTCTCGAAAGACTTATATAATCATCATAGTCTTCGAATAATTCTTCGAAAAGGCTTTCAGAGATCTTCTAAGCGGTAAGAATAATTTAATAAATGTTTGATGTCTCCAAAAGTTTTGGTTTTGGTAAGAAGACCTTCAACGATCTTCTGTAGCTAAAAGACCTCCCAAGGTATTCGGTGGCAAGAAGACCTTGAGGGGAGTTTTAAGACTAGAAGAACTACAGAGGCTAGAGTACCTTTGGAGCACCTTCAGAAGAGTTATGTGAACTGTGGTCTTCGAAGATTAAAAGACCTTTGATGACTTCTTTAATATGTGGACGAACTTAAAAAGACTTCTTGGCTTAGACCTTTAGAAACATTCGGAGGTCAACTAAGGTTAGAATTTCTCAGCTATTCTGTACTAAAAAAAATCAAAAAAAAAAAAAAAATAAATAAATAAAAAAATCTGAAGATATTTTCTACTTATTTGATAGCTGTAAGACTTCCACAAAATTTTGAGATCTTCTTTAAAAAATCTACGCCTTGTATAGGCTCTGAAAAAGTAGTCTTTAAAAAATCTACGCCTTGTATAGGCTCTGAAAAAATAGTTTTTAAAAAATCTACGCCTTGTATAGGCTCTGAAAAAATAGTCTTTAAAAAATCTACGCCTTGTATAGGCCCTGAAAAAATCTTCTTTAAAACATCTACGCCTTGTATAGGCCCTGAAAAAATCTTCTTTAAAAATCTACGCCTTGTACAGGTCTTGAACAAAAATTATTATTTAAAAAATCTACGCCTTGTATTGGCCCTGAAAAAAATCTTCTTTTAAAAATCTACACCTTATTAGGCCCTGAAAAAAATCTTCTTTTAAAAATCTACACCTTATTAGGCCCTGAAAAAATCTTCTTTAAAAATCTACGCCTTGTATAGGCCTTGAAAAAATCTTCTTTAAAAAATCTACGCCTTGTATAGACCCTGAAAAAAATCTTCTTTAAAAAATCTACGCCTTGTATAGACCCTGAAAAAAATCTTCTTTAAAAAATCTACGCCTTGTATAGACCCCGAAAAAAATCTTCTTTAAAAAAAAATACGCCTTGTATAGACCCTGAAAAAATCTTCTTTAAAAAATCTACGCCTTAGATAAGCCTTGAAAAAATATTCTTTACAAAATCTACACCTTATTAGGCCCTGAAAAAATAGACTTTGAAAAATCGACCCCTTGTATAAGCCCTGAAATAATCTTCTTTAAAAAATCTACGCCTTGTATAGGCCCTGAAAAATATTCTTTATAAAAAATACGCCTTAGATAGCCTTGAAAAAATCTTCTTTAAAAAATCAAGGCGCTGAAAAATCTTCTTTAAAAAATCCACGCCTTAGATAAGCCTTGAAGAAATATTCTTTACAAAATCTATACCTTATTAGGCCCTGAAAAATAGACTTTAAAAAATCGACCCCTTGTATATACCCCGAAAAAAATATTCCTTAAAAAATCCGTGCCTTTTGTAGGACCTCCTAAAAATATTTTTAAAGAATCCAAAAAATAATATCAAATATTTTCCTTCTTAATATTTCCCATTCTCATTTTTTTATTTTAATATTTTGTTGCATTTTAATTCTGTCTCCTTTTTCTCTCTGCTGTTCTTGTTGTTGTTGTTGTATTTATATATATTTTTAAGGTTAATTAGCATAAAAAAGATTTGACAAGTTTTTGCAGTTGACACTTTTCAACATTCAAATAGCAGCAACAACAACAACAACATCGGCCATAAAGGCAGATAGTGGAAAATCAACGCCAACAAAAAATTAAGCCGGTAGCAGATCGAAGAAGAAGAAACTGAAACAGACTTCTTTGAGTTGTAATTTTTTTCCGTTGATCGGTAGATGGGTCGGTGTGTGAGTGTGTTTTTTTTTGGGTGGCTGTGGTACCAGTGTCTGTCTACAAATCAAAGGATTTTGCTTTTATTTAATTTTTGTTTTCATTATATCAGCTATTCCGACGATTTGCTTTATGTTCAGAAAAAATATTTTTTTTTTTGCTTTTTGGGCGTGTTGTATTATAGACAATTTGAAATTTATGTTTTGTGTTTAGATGCTGGCCAAATTATAATACACTGGAAGAAATTGACTGTGACATATAGTAAGGAGTGAATTAAAAATTAGAACCGTTCAAATCGGCGTGCATTTTTTAAAAATATTTTTAGAACGCCTTTGAAGGTCTCCAAACAGGCGTGGAATTTTTTAAAATATTTTTAGGAGGCCAAACAGACGAGGGATTTTTTAAAAATATTTTTAGGAGGCCTTTGAAGGTCTCCAAACCTTTCTTTTTGAATATTTTTGGGAAACCTTTGGAGGTGGGATTTTTTAAAAATATTTTTAGGAGGCCTTTGGAGGTCTCCAAACTGGCGTGGTATTATTTAAAAATATTTTTAGAAGGCCATTGGAGGTATCCAAACAGGCGTGGATTTTATTAAAATATTTTTAGGAGGCCTTTGGAGGTCTCCAAACAGGCATGGAGTTTTTATAAATATTTTAGAAATCCTTTGAAGGTCTCCAAACAGGCGTGGATTTTTTTAAAAATATTTTTAGGAAGCCTTTGGAGGTCTCCAAACAGACGTGGATTTTTTTAATTTTTTAGGAGGCCTTTGAAGATCTCCAAACTGGCGTGGGATTTTTTAAAAATATTTTTAGGAGGCCTTTGGAGTTTTCCAAACCGGCGTGGAGTTTCTTTTTAAATATTTTTAGGAGGCCTTTGAAGGTCTCCAAACAGGCGTGGGATTTTTTAAAAATATTTTTAGGAGGCCTTTTAAGGTCTCCAAACGGGCGTGGATTTTTTTTAATTTTTTAGGAGGCCTTTGAAGATCTCCAAACAGGCGTGGGATTTTTTAAAAATATTTTTAGAAGGCCTTTGGAGTTTTCCAAACCGGGGTGGATTTTTTCAAAATATTTTTAGGAAGCCTTTGAAGGTCTTCAAACACGCGTGGCATTTTTTAAAAATATTTTTAGGAGGCCTTTGGAGGTATCCAAACAGGCGTGGGATTTTTTAAAAATATTTTTAGGAGGCCTTTGGAGGTCTCCAAACAGGCGTGGATTTTTTAAAAATATTTTTAGGAGGCCTTTGGAGGTATCCAAACAGGCGTGGGATTTTTTAAAAATATTTTTAGGAGGCCTTTGGCGGTCTCCAAACAAGCGTGGGATTTTTTAAAAATATTTTTAGGAGGCCTTTGGCGGTCTCCAAACAGGCGTGGTATTTTTTAAAAACATTTTTAAGAGGCCTTTGAAGGTCTCCAAACCGGGCGTGGGATTTTTTTAAATATTTTTTTGAAGACCTTTACAGAGTCGTGAATTATTTTCAAAATATTTGTTAGGGGATTTTTTCTTCTCGGTGTATTTTTTCATAATTAAAATCAAACACTTTCATTTTAATAGGATGTTCCTTTGACTGTCTGTCCCAGAGCGCACGCTTTTCTCAGTCTATGTGATGTCTAATATTTTTGTTTTGTTTCAATTTTTTTACAATATTTTCAAAACACACAACTAAAAATAATATCATCTTTCGGCACAAGTGTAACAAAACCGCCACCAACCAACCTAGGGGTAGAGAGAAGGTAGGGGGAACAACATCACTTCTTGTCGATGTCAACGGGCAAATACAAGTGTCTAATTAAAAGCGATTTTCAGTGTTGCTTTCGGGCGTCAATTTTTTGTGTTGGATTTTAAAAAATAAAATATTTTTTTTCAAATTTGATTCTAGGAAAATTATTCGTAGTATGTCAGGAAAAAGACAAGTCATACATGATTTGATTTCAAACACTTGAAACTATATTTTTTTTAAATGGATTTTCAATGGAATATTCGGAAATTTTTTCCAGGGGAAATATTGGAGAGTTCGATCAAGATTTATTTAAAAATATACTTGGGAGACCTTCGAAGATCTGGATTTTATACAAAATATTTATAGGAAGCCTCCAAATAGGCGTGGATTTTTTGTTGAAAATATTTTTGAAGGTCTCCAAATAGGGGTGCATTATTTTAAAATATTTTTGGAGGTCTCCAAACAGGTGTGGATTTTTTTATTTTTGGAGGAGGTCTATACCACTCTGTGGTACAGGGTATTATGTCTTTGTGCATATGTTTCAGATAGATGTTCGAGATAGACCCATGGTTCCTTTTGAGAATATGCATAGAATCACTTTCTGAGTCGATGTATGCATATCCGTCTGTCTGTTGATGTTAAATTGTAAACAAAGTACTGGTCGCAGTTATTATCCGAATTGGATGAAATTTGGCACAGCTCGTCTATTTGGCCCAACGACGAACCCTATTGAAATTGGGAAAAATCGGCCGATTTAATGTAAATAGTGCAACAAAGTCTCTATATATTATTCGATTTGCACGAAATTTTGCACAGCGTAATGAATTAGGTATAGAATGATGTGTGTTAAGTTTCCTGAAAATCGGTTCAAAATTAGTTATAGCTCCCATATATATGTTCGACCGATTTAATGTAAATGGTGTATCAAAGTCCCTATATATCCTTCGATTTGCCTGATATTTGGCATAGCGTACTGAATTAGGTCTTGAATGATGTGTGTTAAGTTTCGAAAAAATCGGTTCAAATTTAGATATAGCTCCCATATATACTTTCGTCCGATTTTATGTAAATAGTGCACCAAAGTCCCTATAAATCTTTCGATTTGCACGAAATTTGGCACAGCGTTATGTATTAGGTCTAGAATTATGTGTGTTAAGTTTCTTGAAAATCGGTTCAGATTTAGATATAGCTCCCATATATACTTTCGTCCGATTTAATATAAATGGTGTTCCAAAGTCCCTATATATCTTTCGATTTGCACGAAATTTGGCACAGCGTAATGAATTAGGTATATAATGATGTGTATTAAGTTTCCTGAAAATCGGTTCAAATTTAGATATAGCTCCCGTATATAATTTCGTCCGATTTTATGAAAATTGTACACCAATGTCTCTATATAACTTTCGATTTGCACGAAATTTGGCACAGCGTAATGAATTAGGTCTAGAATGATGTGTGTTGAGTTTCGTGAAAATCGGTTCAGATTTAGATATAGCTGTCATCTATATTTTCGACCGATTTAAATTTGAAAAAAAATATACAACCGATCCACCTTCCATTGCCTTTTTGGAACTGAGATTTTAGATGGTCTTTGACGTTGCACTCAATCTAATCGCGATGATAAGCCATGGCATCATTTGAAATCAAATCAAATAGCTTTGGTGGAAGAGAACGAGATACGCTTGGGGTTACGATGTTATCAACAACAACGCCAATGGCAACAAACACACAGTTGACCAGCCAGCTAGGCAATCATTCAGTCATTCAGATGATTGCATTTGAAATCACCGAAAGAAATAAAAAAAGCAATTGGATGGCGTTTTGTGATGCCATTCGGGGTTTTCGATGCTTCAGTTCCCATTTCAACTGATAAGAGTTCCGCTTGATATTTGAAGATTAAGAATTATCAAAAAAAGGCAAATTATTGTAGAGGTCGTTAGTTTGACAAAAAAAAAAAAAAAAATAGAAAAAATATATAACAAAAAAATTCTCCCTGAGGGGTCCTATCAATTTGTTCCTGATAATCTCAGGAAAAAATATTTGTTTATTGGTTGTAAAGATTGTTCAAATAGATGATTATTGCCAAATGAAATTTTTTCTAAGACTTCCCAAATATTTTTTTAAAAAATTCACGCCTTTGGAAAGACTTCCGACTTTGTTAATCTAAGCCTATTTTTTCTTTAAACCTTAGATTTATCTACACCTATTTTATTTAATTTTTATTTTTTTTTTATTTATTTTTTTATTTTTTTTAATTATATTTTTGCTAAGACTTCCCATATATTTTTTTTAAAAAAATCCGCGCCCTTTGAATTCTTAAATTTATCCACACCTCTGTTTAGGCTCCTAAAATATTTAAAAAAATCCAGACCTCTTAAAATATATTTTTTAAATCCAAAGACCTCCTAAAATACCTTTTAAAAATTAAAAATATTTTTGGAGTTCTGGAAAAAAATATCTTAAAAAAATCAACTACATCTTGAAAAAAGTGTATTGAAATTAAAAAGAAAAATAATTTTGTTTGAACTTACCCAATGCATCACAGGGCGCTCTTCGGTACAGACGCCCATGTGCGTCTTTTGCGATATCACGAGGTTTGGTTCCAACGATGCTTATTTGGCAGTGCGGCGGCAGGATGTTGTTTTGAATGATTTCGATTGATGCGAAGGACAGCGACGGTGGCGGCGATGACAACGACGTCGATGACAGCAGCTGAAACTGTGACGACGTTGTATGGAAACACGGAGGGAATTTTTTTTTTTAAATTTCACGGGAGAATTTTTAAACCGAATCTTTTTATTTAATTTTTATTTTAACACTGGAAATAGAAATTTTAAGTTGAATTTAATATTTGTTTCACATTTGTATTAAACATTTACACTATAATTTGTTTTAAAATTAATTTTACATTATTTTTTAACATCGTTTTATATTTTCATTCCAGGGACATGATATTGTTGGATTAAAAAAATATGTAAGTAAAAATATATTTTCATTATACATCGCTACAACAAAAATCTGCTTTGAAAAGGACTGTTTCTGGAATGAAGACAAATGTCGAACATTGACAAATTTGAATTTAATTCGCATATGCAAGTTTCGCATCAGGGCGTGATAAATACAAGTTATCAACACACGACCTTTGTAAAGCCACATAGCCCAATATGCCTGATGAGCCGCTTAATCAACGGCGAAACGCGTCGCATAATGGTGGGTACGTAGGTTCTTCTCCTGGCTTTCCTTTTCATTGCAAACCTTCGATCATTAAGCTCGACTCGAAAGAGTATAAATAATCACTTCAAGATTATTAAAAATTGGATTTTTTTATATAGCTCCTTAGCCATATTTCAGAAAAATAATTGATGCGCCCGTATATGAGTACGGTAATTATTAAATGCAATACTGGATTTCTCCGATAATTTAAGTGGAGGTTTGAAAAATAATTTTTGAAATATAACCAGTAAGGAAAGTAGTAAAGTCGGACTAGGCCGTCTATATGATACCCTTCACCACTTTATATATTTTGTACATATGCCAAATTTGGTGGAAGCCGAAAGGTATACAGGGATTTTGGTGCTACATTTACATTAAATCGGGCGAAAATATACATGGGAGCTATATCTAAATATGAACCGATTTTCTCAGAACTTAACACACATCATTCTAGACTTAATTTGGTACACCATGCCAAATTTCATAAAAATCGAAGAATATATAGGGACTTTGGTACCCTATTTACTTAAAAACGGGCGCATATATATGTGGGAGCTATTTCTAAATCTGGACCGATTTTCACAAAACTTAACATGTGGAAATCTAGACTCAACTCAGTGCGCTATACCAAATTCCGTGCAAATCGAAGGATATATAGGGGTTTTGGTGCTACATTTACATTAAATCGGACGAAAATATATATGAGATCTATATCTAAATCTGAACCGAAATTCTCGAAACTTAACACTTATCATTCTAGACTTAATTTAGTACGCCATGCCAAATTTCGTGAAAATCGAAAGATATATAGGGACTTTGGTGCACCATTTACCTTAAATAGGACGAAAATATATATGTGAGCTATATCTAAATCTGAACCGATTTTCTCGGAACTTAACACACATCATTCAAGACCTAATTCATTACGCTATGCCAAATTTCGTGCGAATCGAAGGATATATGGGGACTTTGGTACACAATTTACCTTAAATCGGACGAAGATATATATGGGAGCTATATCTAAATCTGAACCGATTTTCAGGAAACTTAACACACATCATTATGGGCTTAATTCAATACGATATGCTAAATTTCGTACAAATCAAAGGATATATAGGGACATTGGGACACCATTTATCTTAAATCGGACGAACCTATATATGGGAGCTATATCTAAATCTGACCCGATTTTCTCGAAACTTAACACACATCATTATGAGCTTAATTTAATACGATATGAACTTTGGTGTCTATATCGGATGAATATATATATATGGGTGCTACATCTAAATCTGAACCGATTTTCACCAATTTCGATAGTGTTCGTCCTTGGGCCAAATAAGTGACTTGTGCCAAATTTCATCCACATCGGATCATAAATGCAACCTGTACTTTGTTTACAATTTTGACATCTACAGGCGGACGGACGGACGGACATGCATAAATCGACTCAGAAAGTGATTCTATGCATATTCTCAAAAGGAACCATGGGTCAATCTCGATTATTTTTGCCTGCTACACAAAAACGTAATACCCTGTACCACAGTGTGGTGAAGGGTATAAAAACCAGGATCTTTAATTTTCTATTGTATTTATTGTTCTTTTGGAATGGATCGCAGCTACGAACCGCAATTATTAAATGCAATATCAGATTTCCCCGATTTTGTAGATGCAGGTTTGAAACAAATATTTTTTTTTTTGAAATATGAGAACCAAGATTTTCAGAATCAATTTTTCAAAAATTCTATAGGCTTCGATATTTTAGCCTTCATTTTCTTTTTTATTTTTTAATCGTATAGCCTGATTTCGATTCAGAACAAATTGGAAGTAAGCATATTTACTGAAGATTGGTATTGATCATTTTTGAATTTTACATATTTTCTCGATAGGCTACCAGGGCGATATATTTATTTTTGTTTTTATTGTTGCGGATGATTAAAAATGTTTATTTGGACATGACGGACCATTCGATACCCTACACAACTTCCACGTACGATTAGCATGGGCAGTATTTCGCGATATTTGCAACCTTATTGCCCGATTAGAGGTCAACAGCACCTCTTCCTACACAGACATATATTCCGAATATTACAATTATTCAGTACAGCCCCTCTAATTACTTGTCCAGCTTCCCTTCACCGTGGGCTGTGTTGTGATGTTCGGCTTATAATTGTGGCCTATAGATCGACTCGAAAAACACACAAAAAATAAGTTTACAGTCCACTTCATCCCAAAATTATTATCTACTCATCACCGAGAATTATAGGCGTTGTTCTTGACCATACCTGGATCATCATGGAAAATTTCAAAGGGCTATATTTCCGCCCTCTAGTGTGGAAATTGGTTATTAAATATATCTAAGTACCTGTAAATATTTAAGTGTAACTCCACATCCCAGTACATACGACAATATAATTGGTATTAATTTGAAGGTCAACACCAATGTTGCCAGTCCACTTAACGTTCTGACCCCATCAACACACTTCCAAAACGGTTGTCCAAAATCATGTGTGTACCATGGAAGCAATTGTAAGTGTGTGGATTAATTATCCATCGCTGAAACAAAAATCTGCTTTGAAAAGGACTGTTTCTAGAATGAAGACAAATGACAAACTTTGATAAAATTTGAATTTAATTCGCATATGCAAGTTTCGCATCAGGGCGGGATAAATACATGTTATCAACATACGACCTTTGTAAAGCCATATAGCCCACATATGCCTGATGAGCCGCTTAACCATCGGCGAAACGCGTCGCATAGTGGTGGGTACGTAGGTTCATTGCAAAACTTAGATCACTAAGCTCGACTCGAAAGTGTATAAATACTCACTTAAAAAAAAGGCCTAGAAAAAATATGCTTTAAAAAATCCACGCCTTGTCTAAGGCCTAGAAAAAATATTCTTTAAAAAATCCACGCCTTGTCTTAGGGGGTAGATATGCTATCAAATTCTCGGTTCTATGTCCTTCAGGGGTAAATATATACGCCATTGAATATACATTTTGTCATTTTCCACACAAAAGTCTGGGTCCATTTGATCCGCTAAATATTGACCGATCTTTATGAAAACAGGCAAACTTTTTCTTTGGCTCGACCCCCTTCCCCATGTAAAAAATCGCGATGTTTGGGCCATAATTACGGCCTCTAGAGCGACCAGAAAATCAGACAAAAATAAAGTTGTTGGTCCATTTCATCACCTAACCGAACTTTACCCAAAAAATAGGGGGTCTTCATTGAACAGAACCCATCCTACATGCAAAATTTCGTGAACATTGGGTCATAACTGTGGTCTGTATCGTGTTTACAAATTATTATGGATAAACGGACGGACACACATGTCTAGATCGACTCAGCTAGTCGAGATATGGCGATCGGTATACATAAAGGTGGGTCTAAGACCAATATTTCGTGGCGTTACAAACTCTGTGGGGTTGCACAAAGCTATTATACCCTGGCAACATTATCTTTAATTTTGAAGCTCGTAAAAGAGTCCCATTGGCTTCCATCAAGTTGGGGTCATGTGAACAAGGCTTTCAATGTTCTACTGCATTCAAAACAAAATTTTTTGTGAGGCTTTTTATCTCGCCAAAAAAAAAAAAAAAAAAAAAAAAAAATCACAGCTTAATCATTATGCCAAAAAGTTTCTCAAGGCAATCCTTGAGAGTTTGTTCCCTAAGAAATATACCCACAACCTAACCGGAAGCAATAATAAACCTAGCAGGTATTAACACATTTCGATTTCAATTTGTTAATGTTCTACCATTTGTTTTTATTTCACTACATTTTTTATTTCAATTTTTTTCGGGATCCACACACAAAGATTGACCCTCAACATCAATTTCAATATCGAGCGCCACCATTTATTTAGATATTCCATAAATTCACACACCCAAAGTGAAAGGAATTCCGCAAAAAAAAAAAAATAAATAAACCGGCCACCGTTTAGCTTCCAAATCAGGAATACCAAAAAAAAAACCGATTCTCAAAACAAGCTTGGATCAACAAAATATATGGCTCACAATCAGGCGATCAGTTTTGGGTTTCCAACATTTTTATTTCCCTGCACTTCTAATGTTTTTGCAAAACGTAGTGGACTTGGTGGTGGTGGCTGGGAGATGGGATTTCAAGTGATCCGCTTGAGGATTTTTTTGGTGAGGTTATCGGTTTTCTGTTGCTGTTAATGTAGTTGTTGTTTTGCGGTGTGGTTTGTTGTTGCAACATGTAAAGTGTCCCCAAATGTTGACAATTTTTAAAACTTAATTTATGACATTCATTTTAAAAAAAAGGTCTTCTTCTGCCTCTTTTTGCCTCAACACCTTTTGAAAACACCAACCAACAACCCACCATCCCCCTACATGGGTTTTTTTATTTTCCTTTTTTTGGGAAGCCACCAAAATTCTTTAGTAGCCATTCCAGGTTAGCAGCCATAGAACCAGCAACATGTGTCCGCTCTTCATAGCATTCATCCCGCTCCCAAACATCTTTGGTTTGGGATC